TCGAAGATTGTTTCCTTTCAGCACCAGCGATTGTGAATTCTCGTTGGCCGACAAAGCCTTGAATCAATGGCAGAACAAAGCCATGAGCCCCATAATCAATGAATCTGTTCATCAAATGTCTATTCCAAAAATACTGCTAACGAGTCAGCAAGCAAACTTTTACAGAAAACATACTACGAGCCCTCGGTTCGCACATACCAATGGATCAACAACTTTGTGAAGGGGAAGCTGATCTTTCCGGGCTTCCTGTGTATGCAAAGGGCGTGTAAGATCATAATCATATGCAAAGAAAAAGTTATGCGATGCAAACAAGAGCTTCGTATAGCGAAGCAGTTTCGGCAGCAATTCAGCAGCCTGGCTAGATTTAGGCCGATCAGGCTCACTCTGAGCCTCAGCTTCTTCAGACAAAGCTTCATTTACAGTTTCATGTTTTGCATCACTGGCATCACCTGAAGGAATGGAAGCTTCGTCAAAGGAAGACTCGGGCACATCCTGCTCTAGAGCTCCGGGTCCGGGCAAGCCCAGGTTTTTGCGTGATAGCCAATTGGCTGCAAACCTGCCGAAGCGGACTTTCTTCGCAATCACATCTTCTGCAATACTGCCAACGCTGGTGCCCCGGGCATGAGATGTATCGCGAGTAGGTGATGCGGGCACGCTGCCGATCTCCGCCTCCGCTTCGGCTCTGTCGGTTTCGTTATCGGGGAGATCATATTCGTCGGAGGACGATTCGATGGTGATTTCCTCCTGCCATGATTCTTTCCTGGCTTGTGTAATTACGCGAGAAGCATCTGCTTGGGATGATATTGGAATAATCGCGACATTGGTTACGGCGTAGATCGGGCGACCTTGGATCTGCGCTACTTGCTGGCGCTGTGTGATAGAAACGAGAAATGAGTAGGAAGCGACAGATAAGAGACCTGCCGAAGCAATTCTTTGAGATTAGTTTCTTCATTCAATTTCCACTCAGTTCGTCAGCATACCTATAAGACCGTAGGCCTCTAGGACGTCCTTTCCGCCGAGGGGCTCCGAGGCGGAAACGGGCAACGCAGTGATTTTGTTCGTCTTATAGTCGATGCGGATGGATGAAGCCTCATTGTTGCTACTAGCGGTATGCCGTGGTCCGCTAGCCTGAGTATGCAAGATTAGGCCGTCGACTGCGGCGACGATGGCCAATTTGCGTAATAAAGCGGGCATCGTGCAGGTTCCCCGCGTTCGAAGGGAACAAGATCACGCAGCCCTTCCAATGACGTCTACAGGCCCCTTGCAAAGGTACATGTAGCCAAGGAAAGGCAATAGAGAAATTTAAAGATGTAGAAATTGAAAAGGCAAGAATATCGGATGGGCATGTTCCATAAACAGCTGACCTGCAAATACATCATCGGCCCAGCCCCACCCAGATACATCGTCTATTCTGCAGAAATCCAACTTGAACTATATACAAGCCTCTCGCCACGCCAGATCACCGATAGACAAATGAAAATGAAAATGAAAATGAAAACAGAAAAAAAAAGACATCAAATCCCAACCATCCAGAGAAACCCAGAGTCATATCCAGTCGTTCATACAGACATGCCCAGTGCCTGATGAGTTCGCCCAAGTTTCAATGCAACTCTGGCATTTTCGGGGAACAGTAAAAATACAAAAGGAGATCAAGCCTGTGGAAGGGAAGCTTGCAGTTGAGTGTGTAGAGAGGAAGGAAAATCATTTCAAAGACCTTATTATAAGGCGAGGGTTGGAATCAGACCTTGTAAAACACCATGATCAGATCTGGCTGTTCCGCTTGGTGTGAATTGCAGTCTGTGTTTCGGTCTGCGGGAAAGTCGGACCTGGCTCCCCATCACTTGCTTCAGTCAAGGTGTCCATGCCGATCCCGTTCTCTGCATCGTATGCATGGATGAGGCCTTCGCGGTCGCTATTTCCATTGAAATATGCACTCGAGGAGCTTCGGCGGGACTGCATTGAGCGCCGGGTCTGGAAGCTCGCCATACCGTCTGTTGGCACTCCATCCTCGTCAAGTTTTGAATTCACCATGGTGTGTCCATCAGGGTCATGTCGCGAGAGGTTCAGGAGGTATACGCCAGTGAAGATGATAAGGAATCCACAGAGTAAAGATATGGTATTGACGGCGTCGGTGGTGTTGAATCCCTTGAAAAGAATGAAGGAGGCACAGAGGGTTGCGGTTGTGAAGGTAACATAGTAAAGTGGGTTCACGCTGTTGACGGAATCATGTTAGCCTCGCATCTTCATATTGATTGATGTTTACACTCACATCGAAGTCGAGAAGGAGTTCAATGCCTTGTTGAAATAGTTCATCTGCGTCAGAATGCAGAATCCGGTCACAATGGCAAAGACGTAGGTGGATGCGTGGACGAATTGGTTGTTGCCCCCGATGGTCAATTTCACTGCAATACCAAAGGCCTTGACGGACATGACGGAAACCGAACCAACAGTGGAGCAAATCGAGATGTAGACGAGCGGGTTCTTTTTGCCATAGACGGGCGCAACCCGGTAGATCATCAGAGTCGAGAAGACCGCAACTGCGACACAGTAGAAAAGGAATCCTAGTCGCAAGGTCAGCGGTGGGTTTTAGGCGCCGGACAGCGATCAAGTATTCGTACCTGGCTGAACCGCATATCCAAGAATCTCATCGACTGTCTCCACTTGCTTGTCTGGAGGCGCATGGAGAACAATGACAACCGATCCCAGCAAGCACAGCGCACAGCCCAATTTTCCTAACACACCAAGTATCTCGTTGAGGAAGTACGAACTTAGGACCGCACTGCGTCAAGTCAGCTATGAGATTATGCACGCCATCGAAGAGATCCCTACCCGATTAGAACACTTAGTGCACCTAGGGGCGTAACTAGGATGGCCGGCGCAAAGGCGTACGCAGCAAAGTTGGCGACTTCACCAAGGGCCACTATGAGCCTGTTAGCATCTCCGGATGTCAACTCTGGCAATGAGGTTCCGTACATGTCACTATACCACCCCACCACACGGGACTCTTCAAGTATGAGAATCCTTCGCCCTCAAACCCATGTCGTTCGCAGGCGTGCATCAAGCCCTGTACCCAGACGCATTAGCGACTTCGCTCCGATAATGATCGCTTTGGACCGAATCGCCGCGGTATTTGTCCAGCGCACCCGGGATTCAAGTGTCCGTTTCCCGGTAAGATTCGTGGCACACCAACCTTTTTAGTGATGACAAAACTCGTACCGATCGCCATGGTCGATACAATGGCTAAAATAAGCCCGACATATCTATGAAGGCGCAGCGCGCAACCACGTTAGAGCTGACAAGCTTGCCCCCCGGGCAATTCGGGGAGAGTTGGGAGAGCCATACTTGTCTGGAATCATTTTGATGTGATTCGTATCTTAGGAGCCGGGAGCTCCTACTGTTGAAAGACCTCCAATGCCGGTAATGGATCGGGGAATGGGCAAGAGACTCGGGTGAGCGAAGGAAGGGGTGGTAATAGGCTAAGGACTGAGGACTAGGGGGGAAGCAAAGGGAGCGAATAAGGACAAAACAGAAAAACGAGCCAGCCCGAGATTTCTGATGAGTAAGGAGGACGTGAAGAAGCTTGAAAGATAGGTAAATGGCCAGAAGCCAGAAGCCAGAAGCCAGAGAGTGATGTGGTGCCTGCGTGCGGTGGGGTTCCGTTTCAAGCCCGATCGGGGGACGCGTAAGAGAACAACGCTAAAGGACTTGAGAGGCTTGGGAGACCTTCCGGGTGCCGAGGCGATTCGTGCTTTGGGTAATTTTTAATTTTAATTGTTCTTCTGATCCCAAGGTTTTTTTTTTGTTCATATAAATATGCATAGATAACGTAGAGCTTGAAATAGAATAGGTGGCCCTAACTCCGGTATTTATGCACCACACTATTTACATCCAAGTACTCCGTACTATGTACACAACACTATTATCATATGACACGAATATCTCCTCCGTACATATCTATTCACAGCGCTGGATACTTGTCTATGTACAATATATCCAATATATTCAACACTAGACATCGAGTAGTATTAGTCTTGTTAAAATAAAAGCCAAATAAAGCCAAATGGACCCTGAAATGAAGCCAAGACCGGCGTTTCAGCTCCCTCCGAATGCGGCATAGGTTTCTATACTTAGCCTAGAATCCCCAGAGACTCCAATTTGGGTCCACTGCATGACATTATCTTGTGTGGCTGAGTTAATCAAAATGGATAACCTTGGAACTCGTTATACAAAATCAAACTATGTACCTGCAAGCATACATCCATGTATTCTACAATATCCCCCCCCCCACCATCCCCGGAATATCTCTCCTCTCTGTGCCCCATAATGTAAGCGAAATTAGGGGGCACTTCAAATCTGGGGGTATCGGATCAGATATACCCATTCTTAATTTATACAACTTGACAAGCAGGAGCTGGGACATGTTTTTCGGAAGTACTTAAATAACATCCATTTGGAAAAGCATGTGGGGTAAAGATTCATTGGTAGAATACTACAAACACGTGGACTAACCCATCGCGCCGATACGCCAGATCCTAAACGGAAATGCATTGGAAAAAGAAACGCCCAAACCGGCACCCATCAACACCGAACAAAGATTTTGGGCCGAAAACCGGCAGTGGTATCTTGAATCGCAATGGCAGGCAAGGAGTAGAAGGACAAAAAAGGGAACGCAAGAATAGATGATGGGCAATTGAATGATGTGTCGAGAGCACCCGGGGGTTGGTCCAGATGCGGGATGAAAAAAAGAGAAAGCGTATGCCGCAATGAAGGTGAAGGCGTGCGCATGCTTGGGGAAGGGGTCGAACATACCTGTTTCTTGTTAGTAGTCGAGTGAGACACTGCGTCCATGAGTCGAAGTCGTTGCTGGCAAGTATGGTTATTAGTATGTTGGAGGGTAAGTGGTTGCGTGGAACGAGCCATCAAGGGTCAAGCTCGCTGGGCACCAGGCATGACGAATGAGAGAGATTGTGAAAAAAAAAAGAAGGGCTTGGGAATGTGGTTTACGAAGAGCGGCGACGTTTGGCGTCAGCGGTGGTTTCCACCAGGTCCCAGTCGTCTTCATCTTCGCGAGACCGTTTGGCAGACAAGCTCTGGTTCGTTTGGGGGTCTGTCAAGGAAGGGTCTGTTCCAGCCAGCTCTACAGCCTCCGATTCTTCAAAATGGGTATCATAGTCGCCAAAATGGTTCTCGTCAAACTCGTGATCGGCACCCTCATCATCAGCTGCAACAGGAGCATCGAGCTCATCCTCAGGCTCGTCGTAGTCTATGCCCTCGAAGTGATCAAGCGCATCGTTCTCTGTATCCTTCGGAGGAGTCTGCATCAGGTCTACAGCGATTCCAAGTAAATCATCTGCGGGCTCTGGTGTTTGCTCCTTCTTGTCAGATGCATCATGCAAGCCGACGTCAAGTGGCCGTGCCGGCTGTTCATGGGAAGGGTGGTTGGTTTCATCCCGCAGGAGAATTTCTGAAACAACTTCATCTGTCGGCGGGGCATCTAACTCATCTGCGTCCTCTTCATCAAGGACAAATGGCTGATCAGCTGGTTCTTGAGCATCAACATCAGCATTTTCACTGCCAGTGATATCTTTTTGGAAGGTTTCTGAATCATCGACTGAGCCGATGTCTTCGTGCTCGTAATATTCCTCGGCTCCCTGATCATCGTTCTCAAGGTCCTCTCCGTAATAGTTCTCGTCGTCGTTTTGATTTCTACCGGCGTCCGCGGCAACGTCCGGAGAGACATGCTGGGTATACTCTTTGATCTCGCTTGCGCCAGGCATTGCAGCTACCGTGGCAGTAGAATCACTCTGCCGGTCCTCAGAATCGTAGTGCTCTTCGTTCATATCAGCATGGCCATGGTCGTGTTCTTGCTCTGGGTCTTTTTCGAGATGGCGAGACACATCGAAGTGATCTAACTCTTTGTTCTCGGGCTGCTCAGGCAGGGCTAGATGAGATTCAGACTCAGGTGCAGCCTCGGCACTCCGCTCACGAGAAGTAGATCTATCCTCATCCTGCGCATGCAAAATCTCTGGTTGAGCGTTAGAGACGACTTTGGGCTGGGCCTGAGACTGTTCGCTATCTAGCGCCTGCTCTTCTCCGGGTGCTGGAGCGGTTTGCACTTGCGTGATCGAAAGCTCTTTTTGAGCCTCATTGGTGTAGTAGACTTCGTCTTCGTGCTCCTCAGCCCCATGGGCGCCAAGATCCTCATCGGAACCTGCCTCAGCTTCATCATATTCATCCCATGATTGAAGTTCGGAATGAAGTTCAGAAAGTTTCTTGCCCTCAATCGCAGCGTCATTGAGATCTGCAATCTCAGCCGGGAACGCACGCTTGGTGCTCAGTGTAAGATAAAGGGCATCGGGCTCGGTGGTGCCATCATTACGACAAAGTCTAAGATAAAGATCTAGTATCTGATGCAACGTAACTTGAGAAGTATGAAATGAGTCCTGAGAGGATGAGTCAGTACGTTTGCCGATAGGGGATGATTGAGAAGGTACTTACCTCTGTCATTTGGATACCGAGGGTGTCAATATCGATGACCAGGACCTCATTGCCTGCCATTGTTTTTTGAAGCACCTGGCGCAGAGCCTTGAATATTTGATCAATATTTTCATAAGCTAGAGCTTCATCCTCAATGAAGAACGTATCCGCCAAGTCTCCCTCAAGGGGAGGGAACAGAGCGATTTCGCAGTCCTGGTAGAGAATTTTGACTGGATGAACAGGCTCATCTACGTATGCGGCTTGTTGGAGAGATTCATCCTCATCTGCAACCTGGTGATTTCCCTCAGACCCAGGCTGCACGTCTGGCACAGCGTCATCAATGTGGGGATGTTCGATGGAATGTGTGATTTGGCTGGCCTCCGGGTCATCGTTGGGAACTTGAGTTGCCTTAGTCTCTGACACAGAAGATTGTGATACTTCGTTAGCCTCTTCGCCAAGCTCTTGCTTTCCATTGTGACCGCCGGTTTCGGGACTGATGACGGTTTCGGATGGTTCCTCAGCCAGGTGATCATCAACAGCCGTGCTCAGCTGGGCCTGCGTGTCTGGCCTCTCAACTCCGGAAGCCTGAGTTTCATCTTGAACGGGGGCAACTTCCAAAGAGCCACTTGTGTCTTGAGGTGCTGCTTTGAGGGGTTCCACAGTTGTGACTGTGGCATCCTCCTTAATGAGGCTGGCAGCGTCTTCATTGCCGCCCGCAGGTTCAAGATGAATGACAGGGGCGGCAATATTCATGTCTCCGGCCTGCTCAGTCTCAATCATTTCTTCTTCGTATGGCTCCTCCTCAAATTGCACGTCAATATCGTTGTCTTCATCGGCGAAGTTGCCAGCGTCGATCATCGACCCTTCCGAGGGTTCATCGGCCATGTCGGCATCGTAGATCGCGTCATCGTTGAGTTCGTTAGGCTGAGCGGTACTAGTAAATTCATCTGCACCCATCATATCACTGTCCATGTTCGAGACATGGTCCTCCATGAGGTCGATGTCGATGTCAAAATCGTCAGCCTGCCCTAGATAAGGCGAGGCCATCTCCATAGAATCACCCGTAGCTGGGACTTCCATTATGGGGTATGCGATCAAAGGAGCTGTTGTCATAGCAAGAAAACGCGTAGAGATGTGCTCTGCGGGTCGTGGGTAGTATTGTAAGTTCAGCAATGACGTTACATAAAAGCGGTTGAAATAAGGGGTGAAAATGAAAGAAAAAAGATTCCTCAGCGATACTCAGAGCGAAAGGCTATGAGTAATACCAAGAGATACGATGAACTGAGTGTTGGTGGAGTGTATCTAACGCGTGGGAAAAAGAGGAAGTGAAGAGAAAGTGTCTGGCCAACGACTAAGCGAAAGGAATGCACGGGCCAACCGCCGCCGAAGTGAACAGAGTAGCTCCCTACCGCTGCCAACCATCAACACCAGGGCGTACGCTTCTAGTCAACCCTACGCTTCTCCATTCCTCTCTATACTCTTTTCTTTAATCACTATCTTATTGCCATTTGTGTGCGCCTTTTGTGCTGTTTTCTCGCAATGGTAAGCCCTTGTTCAATCCAATTCGCGGGGGAATTGGACTAATCAACACACACCAGGTCGTTCTCGCAGCGTCGATATGCACCCGCGGAGGTAAAGCGGTCCTCTCGCGCCAGTTCCGAGAGATCTCTCGGTCCCGAATTGAGGCCCTTCTCGCCTCCTTCCCCAAGCTGGCGGACTCCGGAACCCAGCACACCACCGTCGAGCAAGACAACGTGCGCTTCGTGTACCAGCCATTGGATGAGTTGTATATCGTGCTGATCACCAACCGTCAATCGAACATTCTCCAAGACATCGACAGTCTCCATCTCTTTGCGCAAGTCACCACCAGCATCTGTAAGAGCCTAGACGAGCGGGAGATTCTTCGCAATGCATTTGAGCTCCTGAGTGCGTTCGATGAATTGGTGACTATGGGATACCGGGAGAATCTTTCTCTCTCTCAAATCAAGACCTTCCTGGAAATGGAGAGTCACGAGGAGAGAATCCAGGAGATCATTGAGCGGGTATGTTGTGAAACCATCGGTGAGGTTAGTTCATGGCTGACATACATTGATAGAACAAAGAGCTGGAGGCAAGCGAGGAGCGCAAGAGAAAAGCGAAGCAGCTGGAAATGCAACGTAAAGAGGCTGCCCGCACAGGTCGTGCCGCCGCCCCAAGAACTCCATCCTATCCCGTCTACACACCCCCAGCACGCCCCTCCGTGCCTGACACTTATGATTCATACGAAGCCGAGAAGAAACAGACCTTTGCCAAGTACGTTTGGTTGATTCCTGATCTAACCATTGCGAGACTGCTGCTGACTGCGTGATAACTAGGCCCATTCCCACTCGCGGCAAGGGCATGCAACTGGGCAAGAAATCAAAGGCAACGGATATCTACGAGAAGGTCCGAGGTGATATGGGCCCCGAAATCGAAGAGGAGAGCCCCCTGGTGGCTCCACAAGCTTCGACCCCGGTACACGACATTCCATCAGCCCGCGAGTCTCTCAATGCGGACCGGGAGCCCGTCCAACTCACAATCGCCGAGACCATCTCAGCCACACTTACTCGGGAGGGAGCCTTGAAGTCTTTCGAGGTTAAGGGTGACATGCAGCTCCGTATCAGTGATCCCTCACTCACCAAACTCCGACTGGACTGCCAGGCTATTCCCACACATGGCGCACAGTTCCGCACCCACCCCAATGTCGACAAAGCTCTCTTCACCAACTCTTCCGTGATCCAACTGAAGGATACTACCAAGCGTTTCCCCGCTAACAACTCCATCGGCGTCCTCCGGTGGCGTGTTGCCAGCTCGGCTGACAACGCCGATATTCTCCCCATCACATTCACCGTTTGGGTAAACAAGGGCTCTGACTCTACCACCGTGACCGTGGAGTATGAGCTCACCGGCGACGACAGTCTCCGCGATGTGGTTGTCACTATTCCATATGGCACGACAGAGCCTGCTGTGTCTAGCTTCGATGCGGTCTACGAGGTCTCCGGTGACAGTCTAGACTGGAACCTGGGTGCTGTTGATGAGTCGAATGCCTCTGGCAGCTTTGAGTTCGAGGCGATTGATGCCGATGAGAATGAGTTCTTCCCTATGAGTGTCCGCTTCACAAAGACTAAGCCTTTCGTGGATGTCGACATCCACAGTGTTTCCCTGCTGGAGATGGAGGGTGAAGGGGTTGCATTCTCGAAGGATGTTCGAAGTGTTGCGGAGAACTTCCTCATTGAGTAAAAATGGGCTTGGAGTACTACTGTATAGAGTTCCTAATGATGTTCGGATTGTGGTGTTCTTTAATTGCTTCCAAGATCGTGTTAAGCCAATCCCTGATTTCATTCTTTTAACCTCCTTTACAATAGTAATAACCATCCTAAGTTATCACAGGTTGAAGGCCTGACAAACAAGGCCATTCGGCCCAAATTGAAGGAAGGATATAATCATCCAAACGTAATGGAACGTCAGGATTATGGGCTTGTCTGAAATTAACTCAATGAAGACCGGGGGGCTTATACCCAGACGGGAGACATTGGTGAGAATTGCCGTCAAACTTTCCCCCCCTCCCCTTGGGGCTTATCATCCTCTTTCCGAATGAGGTGTCCTGGCCTGAATGCCCAACCAGGGACCAACCACTTTAACGTCGGTGCCGCCACAGTCTAACGTCAGGTTGACTTCGAAGCCCCCGGTCTGGGCCACCTGCACACTATTTACTGTTTACTGTGGATTTAGGTCTTCATATTCTTTCTAAAGATAGCTAGTTCAAGACTACGGGAATTCAACGTTATTCATGGGCTCTTTGAAACACAAAATTCAGTGTTTCAAGAACAGCCCTGGGGCTGGAAGCACTGCAGGTTGGCGTTCCTGACTCTGCGTGGGTCGAAGCTTACATCCTCTGCTTGAATCCTATATCACGACCCTTGGTCGCTGCATCGGAGTCCAGAGCTAGTCGGTACTAACAACCGAAATCTGACCCTGTCAAAAAGATGGATCACCGGGGGAGGTAATCTGATGGTTAAGCCAATACTTCAGACTCTCTGGAGTAATTAGATCCATGTGAGTCCACATTGGGCTGTTTGGTTGATGGCAAATAGCGTGATCAATAACCAAAAGAAGGTATTTTGCTCATGAAAACGTTGAACTTTCGCCCCATGCCCTACAAGGAGACTTAGGCAAACCCGCATGCAGCTCTTCCTTATTTGACGAACGGGTGGCCAATGGTGCGCGTTTACTCATTACCCTAAACGAGCACTGGATGTCATCACGGAGTATCTATCGGAGCTTGACCAGCTCACAATTCCCAACGGTGCCCGAAACCCGAACCCTTCTTCCTTCATCCTTCCCCGATCTATGCTTCTCATGGGTCAAATTTTTGGGGTGTTTTATAAAATCCAATGATCTTCCTTCTCGTCTCACACTATTGTATTGACTATTTGATTTGACAGATGTCACGGCAATGAGAAATGCTGATCTTGTCATTTCAATATATATCATAAGCTCTTTGGGACCTATACATTGCCCAAACTCGATTTACTCATCAATGTAAGTGAAGAATGGAGATCACGTAGTTACAAATTCCACTGACATTCAGTGAACAGCTTCAGTGATCATATCTTTTGTGGTTCACAATGAGTAATATATCATTTCCCTCGTGGAATGATCAACAGAGCCTCTTCAAATTATCCTGCACTGATGCAGACACGTGTAATCAGTTGTCCAGTGTGGTAAGTGTGAAATCATGATCATGCCAAGCCAAGAAGTATTATCTGATAAAGCATCTAAAGGATAACCCAGCTTCTCATTTTCAACGAGGTGGATCTGAAGTGGGCACCAAGAAAATGGCCATCCCGCGGTTAACGGAAGGAGCCGAATCTGCCTTCACCTCTCCTGGTAGGTTCCATCGTCGACACGTTCGTCGAGCATGCGAGTCTTGCAGACAGCGGAAGACGAAATGCACCGGAGACAAGTCTGGGTGCCGCAATTGTCGAGAGGCTGGAATTATCTGCTGTTATACCGACGGCAAAAGGGAGAAATCCAAACGGTATGCAGAGTCAATATAGAAAAAAAAGCGCCGCGGTTATTGCAAGAGCTGACATCTAAAATCAACTTAAAAAGACAGTTGGAAAGCTTGTCCGCAAAGGTGCAGGCATATGAAGATGTCATTAACAAGTTGAGCAATCGTTTTGGTGTGTCTGATGAGCAACTTGTGAACATTGCCCTGGCAGCGGTATGAAGTTTAATCAACATCCGATAACTATGTTATCTAATACCAAATCAGGAATCGGCCCCCGACTTGGCATTCAACCCAGAAACATGCCTTGCAGCAGCTGGAGAACGAAGGATTTCATGGCATGCAGGTTCTGAGCCACCGCCCTCCCGAGCATCATCCGTTAGTCCCTTGGAATTTGGCGACCAGACAGAGGAGGACTTTAACAGAGATGAAACTGCACGAGCAACGGGTTTCATTGGAAAAAGCTCCGAGATCACTTGGCTCCAGAGGCTTAGCAAAGAGGTCAACAGTGAATGTGAGGCCTGGCCTGCAACTCTTCCCAACACAGACGATGACAACGGTCTGCCCTCTCCGACTCTAACGCCTCGACCGGAGAATCCAAGCGAGCCATGGGTAGTGGCTTCCAACTATTACCTTGATGACCTGAACATTCCAACTGCAGATCAGAGTGATATGTATGGAGTGCCATCACGGGAAATGGCAGGCAAAATGCTCAATGCCTATCTGACTTCTGTGCATCCATCCTTCCCAATCATTGGGGTTTCAACCTTTGTCCCCCAATTCCAGGTCTTTTTCAGTCAGCCATCTCTCAAGCCAGGAAACAAATGGCTCGCCATACTCAACTTGATTTTTGCCATTGCGGCTAAATATGGCCAATTGACGAACTCGGACTGGAAGGAAGAAGATGATGACCACCAACTGTACTTCTCAAGGGCGCGGGCCCTAAGCTTGGAAGACCAGGTTCTCCATCATCCTGACCTACAACAGTTGCAAGTCGAGGGGCTTACTTCGTTCTATCTGATTGCGTCAGGACATATCAATCGGTAAGTTGATAGCCTACATACCCTGGCACTATATACTCACT